TATGGAGGTGTTTGCATCTTCACAACCTCTCCAGTCAGTCTACAGATCCTCAGGTGGCTGCTAGGTGGGGGCGTGACTCTAGGGACTCTGGTGTAACTTGTACCTCAGAAGATGCTGCCCATGTCTTCCCTCCGGCCTGTGTGCCTCTGAATCGGGCTGTGGGTGGTGTTTGGTAATGGGAGAAAGCACGACAGGGTAAAGCTCACACCGAGGCATCCTCACACCTGTGGGCAACTCATCAAGGCAGCTGGTGACCCAGAACCAGGTGTCTGTGGCCAGGAGAGGAAGGAGACCGGGGCTTCTCTGAGGCTGAGGCCTGGATGCTTCTATGTTCCAAGCCAGAGCAGGGTACTTAGCGCTGCTTCCCATTGCCTATGGGGTTTTGGAGCCAGCTGTCAAAGGTCGCCATTGTTAACAAGTATATTCTATGACCTCCCTAGTAAATAAATCATTTTAAAAAACAAAGGTAATCACTAGTCACAGCTCATCATATTCTAATGACTACATGTGCCGGTTACCAATTGTGGTCACCTGCTTCTAGGTACTTTTATAGCGGGCACAGTAATGAGATGCTAATCAAGTTCTTCACCCCAGTGTCATCTGTCAGCTCTTGCAGACCCCATCCAACAACCCCACCCATAGAGGAAGACCATGGGGGGGGCGGAGCCAGCATACCGGAAACCTCACGGTTGACCTCCCATTCTGTTCCTTATAAGGCTTAAGAAAGTGCCAGGGACATGCTAAGAACACAGATTAATGAAACAGCCCCCGAAGGCCATAGCTGTGAATACACAGCTCCAAAAGAAAAGAGAGAGAATATTCTTCTACTATCAGAAAAATACTACCTCACTGAGCAGTTTATTCTTGTTATGAAGAAGGAATGAAGTTGGGATATAAGTCTCCGCTGCTTATTTGTTCACTTCGGTCCTACTCTCTGAAGTGAATGGAAATATCTAGTCTCCTCCCACCCCTCACCCGCTTTTTTTTTTTTTTTGGTCGTGGGTGCTGTCCCTGTGCTCAAGGTGAGCACTCCACCACTTGAGCCACAGCGCCATTTCCAGTTTTTTAGTGGTTTATTGGAGATAAGAGTCTTACGGACTTTCCTGCCCAGGCTGGCTTTGAACCGCCATCCTCAGATCTCAGCCTCCTGAGTAGCTAGGATTACAGGTGTGAGCCATCAGCAGCACCCAGCTTCCCCCCTCCCTTTTTTCTTTTTTTTTTATATTGGATCTCTGCCCATGTGTGAACAGCCTAGTTATACAGTTTAGCAAAACCTGAAGAAAGCGTTGTATAAGAATCACCTGGCAGCATGGGATTTATATTAAGTACAGTGTTGAATGAAATTGTGTGCTGCACATTTCAGCATTGACAAAAAGTCTATGTGTATGCGTGCGTGTGTTTCCAAGAGAGGGGATTGAGATGCTCACCAGTTCTTAGAACACACAAAAGTGCAGCCCTGGTGGCATCTGAAGCTACTTCAGCATCATTTTTTTCTCTTGGGCCTATCACTGTGTATGAGTGCAGTGGAAAATACAGCATTCCAGCCCTCTGAGGTGGACAGAAGGCATCACCTTGCAGGCTTGGGTGCTCTGAGCCTGGGGGAGGGAGGATCCGATAAACGTCCCTCCCAAGACCCCTGCTGCAGACCCCAATGTCTGAGAGAAGGCAATGTATGTGTGTGTGTGTGGGGGGGGGGTGGTTCTGTTCAGAACTAAGGGCATGCAGTGGCTGGATTTCATTCATCTGCTATCCTAGGATTTCCTTTCCAATTCTTACATACCATGTGGTTTCCAAGAACTCGGTGAGCATTGATTCATTGTGTAAGAGGAACAAGGGGAATCTCCTGGCTTATCTAGCCACAGGTTCAGAAAAGGCAAGAATTTGCCCTAGACTACACAGCAAGCTGACCCCAGAGCCAGCAGCAGGTGGAGCCTGACTTAACCAGAAGGCCTCGCTCGGCACAGCCCCTACTCTCGCCAAACTCTAGGCTACATTGGGCCCTGAGCAGAGAGAGGATGCAGTGGGGCTCTTTAAGGGGCCCTTCTGGGCCTCTGGGCTGGGCTGGCTCCCCCCGCCCCCGCCCCCCCCTGCCCTGGCTCACCCACATTACCTGCTCCTACCACCACTGCATCGTATTCCTGCTTCAGGTGTCGCCCAGCTTTAGAGTGAACTCGTCTCCAAGCAGAGCAGGACAAGGAGCCCAAGGCTCTCCTGAGGCCTGTGCCAGGGCCACTGGCAGCCATCTCAGCCACAGGAACTTGCTTGCAGTCAGCACTTCCAACTGCAGGGCGGGGAGGGGGCGGGGAGAGGCCGGTGGGCTGGGGAGAAGGCTGGGAGGGGGAGGAGCTGCTGCTCTGCCTCCCTTTGGCCTTGAGCTGTGACTAGCCCCAGCCCTGGTGGCGGGGTGGGGAGTGGGAAGTCCAGGAGGGGAGTGGATGAGAGGGACAAGGCTATCTGAGCTGGGCTCTGAGCCACCTCCTGAACTCAGATTGACAGTTCGCCAGGGCAGGGAGCCAATCATTAAGCCCAGGCTGAGAGGGAATCCTGCCCCAGGAGAGGAACGGCCAAGACTCTGCCTGGCCTGCAGGACAGAGTCTGACAGTCCAGGGCAGCCATTGCTCCTTACCCCCAGAGGCTCACACAGCCAAGGTCTAAGCCTCCAGTCAACCTTCAGTACAGCCCTTTAGCCACCTCCATGTTCTCTTCCCAGAGAATGTTTGCCTGGCTGGGCACAAGTTCCTGGTCTCTCATTCTGAGGGTTTATCCATTTCTTCTGTACCTTTCCTACTTTCCAATTATCTTCAAAGGTGACTAAGTCACCTCAACCTTAGTTTCCTTACTGTCATACCTTTCCAGGCAAAGCCCCTGTGCTACTGCTCACTCCCCTAAAGCTGTTCTCACATGGCCCTGGCCCAGGCCCTGCTAGTATCACAGGAGCCTGCTGCTAAAAAATGCAAACAAATGCAGAGCCAATGGTTCTGAGGGAGGAGGATCCCTCTACTCTCAATATGGTTGGTCATCTAGGCAAGGCCCCCCCAGTGAATGTCTCTGCTCCAATCTGATTCAGGTTATTCAACCCAGTGTTGTCATCTGTCACAGCCCTCAGGCTTCAAGAACTCCATCAACTGCCCATCGAAACTGTTAAAAATATTCAAATCTGCACTCAACACAAGCAGACTTCTTTCTTGTCGTTGATCCCTAAGCAATGCAGTATGCTAGCTGTTTATGTGGTATGTACCTATTAGGTAATATAAGTAACTTACAGATGCTTTGATGTACAGGACAGGGTGCATGCAGGTTACAAGCAAATGCTATACCTTTATTTAAGGGACTTATTCAAGATTTGGGGATGTATCCAGGGTCCTGGATCCCAGATAACTAGGGATGATTAGATAGAAGTGTCAGAGAACTGTTAACTAGACATTCCCACCATGCAGCCACTAAGAATTAAGGGAAAAAACTTTTTTTTAAAAGTGAGTGTCTTAAACAGTGGTAGGCTGATGGGCTAGGTGCTCGTTCCCTTGTTCTCTATCTTCCACACCTGGTATTTTTCTTTTCCACCCATAAAATCATGATATTGGGTCGAGTTTTCTGGTACATCCACTGCCAGTTACTTAAAGAGTTGAGTTAGGAAAGATAGAGGTTCAAGGCCTGTTTGGAGAAAAAGTTATTAGCAAGACTCCATCTCAATCGATGAGCTGGGCATGGTGGCACAGGAGGCACAGGTAGGAGGATGGAGGTCTGAGGCCTGCTTGGGTGAAAATGCAAGACCCTATCAAAAGTAACTAAAGCAAATCAGGGCTGTGGGGGGTGGGGGACGTGGGTCTCTTACGTGGCAGATTGCCTGGCCTCACAAGCACAGGGCCACAGAGGAGGAATTCAGAGCTGGTCGTCTCCAGAGGCGGATTCTGCTACCACCTGTGCCCTCAGCACCTGCTTTCTGCACAGCTGGCCCTTGTGCAGGAAGGCCAGTCTTCTTCAAATGAGTTCCAGCCCAAGACAGACACAGCCAGCCCGGCTCCCACACGCATGCTGCATGGAACAGACCCTCATTTCTGTGGTGGATGTGCATTCTCATGTTGCTGTTCCCTCTACCTCAGCACTGTGGCTTGGCCCAAGAGAAGCAGACTGTGTTTGGGCAGTCTGGTAGTCTTTTGTCCTTGGGTCTATATTGGGGTAGGATCTGCACCCCTTGGAAGTGGTCTTAATCCAAGGCACACTGGATGCCTGCCAAGCTTTGTGTGTGTGTGTGTGTGTGTCCATTGTAGGGCCAGAACTCTGGGCGCTATACCTTAGTTCTTCAGTTCAAGGCTACCACTCTACCACTTGAGCCACGGCACCACTTCTGGCTTTTTCTGTTTATGTGGTGCTGAGGAATCGAACCCAGGGCCTCATGCATGCAAGGCAAGCACTCTACCACTGAGCCACCTTCCTAGTCCCTGCCAAGCTTTTAAATACATTACAACCCAAGCTCTATCCTGACAAAATAACTGGATCTCTGAGCCAGGGAAGGGAGCTCAGAAGTCACAGCTCTAAGACAGAAGTGAGCAGGCTGCCCAGGAAGGAAGCTGGACCTAGGGAGATCCTCTCAATGCCAACAGGGTCCAGGGCTTGGGTGATGATCATAACCAGTATTTATTGAGCACCTACTATGTGTTTGGGAATCCTGACCACTCTGAGAGGTAGGTGTAATCAGCTTAAATATGGACAGTGAAGCTGGGCGCCGGTAGCTCACACCTGTAATCCTAGCTACTCAGGAGTCTGAGATCTGAGGATTGCAGTTCGAAGTCAGCCCGAGCAGGAAAGTCTGTGAGATGCTTATCTCCAATAAACCACCAGGAAACTGGAAGTGGCGCTGTGGCTCAAGTGATAAGAGTGTTAGCCTTGAGCTGAAGAGCTGAGGGACAGCGCCCAGGCCCAGAGTTCAAGCTCCATGACCGACCAAAAAAAAAAAAATATATATATATATATGGACAGTGAGAAATGCCCAGAGCTGCAGAAGGGAATGGCAGTGCTGGAATGCAAACCAGCTAGTGAGCACCTTTCATGTCAGGAAGGAAATAGCTTCTACTCTGAACAGCAGGAAGAGAGTGTCTTCAGACAGCCGGAGCACTGGGGCTTCCTCCCATCTCCTGGGGGTGAAGAGAGGCAGAGAAGCCTCTGCCATCTGTGCCCTTGCAGCTGCTGCTGTTTTAAGACCAGTGGAATCCCACAGGCTCCCACTGTCTCCAAGGGGAAGGCTATAGGGGCTTGTTACCCTATGTACACGGGGTCCAGGTGTACTCAGAAACCCTGGGGCTGCCCCAGGCCCTTGGTACATCCTCAGGAGGCCACTAGAGACAGGAGGAGACATTTGCAAGCGGGGTAGCTGGAGGTGCCTGGCCTAGGGCGGGGGTGCACGGGAGGCCTCCCCCAGGCGCCGGGCTAGCTGGCCGGCCTGCTGCACCAGCAGTTCGGTGGGAATGACGGACAGGTGCAGGGCCAGCAGCTCGTAGCACCTGACGGCTTCAGCGGGGCGGCTCTTGCTGTAGTAGCGCAGGAGCTTCCTGGGAAGACAGGAGACAGGACTCAGAGGCAAGGTCACGGTGCTTCTCTAAGGGGAGGGGCCTCTAAAGGCCCACACAGCGGGCCTCCCACGACCCTCAGGGCTGCAGCGATGTCTCCTGTGCCTGGTGGACCACAGCTCCTCGCTCCGGGCTCTGAATCCTCACACAGTGGTGCTCTAGCTAAGAGATGCTGGTTCTGGCCCAGCAGACAGCAATTCCCATGCTGCCCAGGGTGTACCAACAGCAGGACTGGTGCTTTGACCCCCATGGAGCACAGGGCTGGCCTGTGAGGGGCTTGTAGCCAGGAGGGGTTCCTACCCAGGTTTCGAGCTTCTCAGGGAACCTCCCCATAAAGACAGAAGCCCTTGCCACTGATATCTGGGGTGCATGGGGCTCCGGGGCTGACTTGGCATCACCTGTAGTAGTCACCTCCCAGCACGCCGATGGGAACGGAGTCATCCGAGAGGACAGGCACTTCAATCATCTGCAGTCTGTGGCCCTGGGGGGCGGGGGGGAGGCAAGGAGGAGAGTTGAGAACAGGAAGGCAATGGGGCTTAAGGGAGATGCACAAGTGGTCCTACTAGGTGCTCAGTGGCAGGGAAAGTGCACGCACCTCTTTTTACCTTGCTTCACCATCTGGGAAGTAGGAACAACTATCACCTTATGAATATGGGTGAGAACATTCTCTCTGATGAGCATCTGTGAGGTGTGAGTGTGCACTAGACCCACAGGGGCACTCACTGCCACTACCAAGTGTGCCTGGGCTGCTGAGGAGCTCGGGTGGGCAGAGGAAGGGTAGCATGGGGTGGAATGGGGCATCAAGGAGAGTCTTAGGCAGGACAGCATTCCCAGAGGGCCCAGGCCGATGCTTTGGAAGAGACGGGAATTGATGGATGGGGTAGGGGATGGTGGGTGGGGGGTGGTGTTAGAATTAAGACCCACTGGATGTGTAGGGCACCAGGCACAGAGCTGATGCTCTTGCCCATTGCCCAGCTGGAACCCTGAGGCCAGCTCCACAGGAGGGAGGCAGACGGGGGGGGGGGGCGCGGGGAGAAGCGACCATCTACATCCACATTCACACGGGCCACGTGCTGTGGTCAGCTCACATCCAGGTCTCCAGCCCTGCTGCCTGGAGTCATCCAAGCACACGAATCCTTGGCTCTCCCTAGATGCTCAGGTAAAGTTCAAAGCAATTTCCAGCATTTCTGAAGGCACAGAGCGAAGACGAGAGCCTGCAGGTCAGTAGCGCTGGGCCTAGGTTCTGGCCCCTCATGTGAAATCTCCGTGGCCTGAGCCCTGGTGTCTGACCATAGCAATTCCACCTGCAAAATGTGGTCAGCAAAACCCACCCCCAACCACTGCAGAGAGCTATGAGTGACGAATGAGGTCACTGCAGTGACAGGCCCACCAAGCATACTGCACTATGGAAGCGGTGGGTTGTTGGCCTCTCTGAGCAGAGACCAGGGCAGGACTTGGGGAGGGGCCAGGAGCAGGAGAACAAGGGAGGAAGGGGCTGCAGGAAATGCTCCTTAGATTATTAGGACATCATTAGGATACACAGAGGGAGAGGTAAAGCAAGGAGAGGTATGTGTGGGGGTGGTTGGAGGAAAGCTGGCGGGGGAGGAGAAGCACACACCACAGACAGTGTATTCCCCTGACCTGGGCTACATGGCAGTTACGGGAGAGACGGGGGGGGGGGGGGGGGGGGAGTGAGAGAGGGGGAGAGAGAGAGAGAGGGAGAGAGAGAGAATGGGCCAAAGGGCAAGAGACAGGAGTCCTCCTGGCAGCTGCCCTGTGTAGGGCAGGCTGGTTAACTGCTTTGGACCTTGGTTCTTCTGCCCAGACAGACAGCATGAATGACTGTGTGAACCGCTTTGTCCAGGTGGGTAATGATGCTGCAGATGAAGACCACCTGAGGGCCCATCCCAGAGCAGGCCACATGCCTGCCCTTTTCTATCTACCTGGACCCTGTGTGAACAGCAATGAGTTAGGCAGGGGGTGGAAGGATTATAGAGCAAAGTTTCTGGTGGTATGAAAACATGACCGTGGTTCTGGGTTCCAGTACTGAGCTTACTAGGACAAGAAGAGATGATAGACAGACTGAACACAGCATAGGACGACAAAAAAAAATCCAAGGTCAAGGTTACAGGAGTGGAAGGCGCTCAGGACAATCCTGTCCTGGTCATGGCACACCCACCGTGTCATTCTCAAACCACAGGAAGTAGGAGCAGCGGAAGTCCCCATCCTGGAAGAGCAGGGTGGTACAGCCCTTCTGCAGGTACCTGCGTGCCATCCGGACTAGAGCCCAGACCTGGGAAGAGGAGAGGGGAAACCTTGCCACGGGGCCTTTCTCGGCTGTGGGAAGAAGGAAGCAAAGCACTGGGTTTTGGAGCTCCCAGAGGCCAGGGCCTTTCTCCTTAGATTAGGCCACTGCCCAGGCTCAGAGCAAGGCCCCAGAAGCAAACTATTAGCAGGTAGATGGATGAGTGAGAAATAAAACACAAGTAAGAATGCATTACATAACTACATACACGCTATAAATTAGTAAAGTACTCGTTCAGACTGGAAAATAGCTATTGCCAGACTCCTGACCAAGGTGTGGCCACCTGGACACCCAGGCAGGTCCCTCCTCTCTAGGGCCCCCACTCATTCAGGTCTGGGAGGTGACAACACAATTCTACCTGAGGACCTGGCACCCTGAACCTGGCAAATCGTCTGTTCCAGTGTGCAAGTCCAAACACGAGCTCATCACGAGGCGTCTGGCAACCGTGAACCCGGGCGACCACCTGCCTTTCTCAGGTTGTCCTGTTCTGGGCATGTTCTTCTACCTAAGCACAGGCTGTCACCAGCTGCCTGAGAGATGCCTAAGGAAAGGTGGCCGGTCCTCGTGGCTTTCCCACTCCCTCCTGGGGCTGGGAAAGGCCCCAGGAGTGTGAGTTCTCTTACTAAAAGCCATAGTAGAAGGGGGGCAAGATTTACTCCATAGCCGATTACAATGGAGTACCAAATTAAGTCTGCAAAGAGATACATGGGCCGGCTGCACTTTCCAGGAAAGCAACTTGACAACACTCATCAATAACCTTAATAACATTCCTCCCATTGGACTCAGTACTTCCATTTCTGGGAATCTATATCGAGGAAAGCATCAGCGATCAGGACTCAGATGTATGCACCAAATGTGTGAACTGAGAAACTGTTTATAACAGTGAATGCCCGGAGACAATCTGAAAGTTCAAATAGCGGGAAATGGTTATGTGAATGATGCTGCATTCACATGATGGACTATTATGGAGCTGTTAAAAATCACGCGTATGAAGAATAGCACAGGGGTAATGCATCGCTGCGCGTCACCCATCAGTTGATGAGATGGCAAATCCATCCATTTTACCACGGGAAATGTAAGGTGGCAAGCATGAGTGCATGCACCCCTCCCCACGCATGCAAATACAGAGTGAGGTCAACTGCAGCCAGCTGCATAGAAAACAATGAAGAACAGCATGCCAGAGCCCCAGCTGTCCACAGACATGCCCGGGAGGAAGATGCGGAGAGGAGGATTGCACTATGCGCTCTACCTGCATTCTGTGCTACCCGCTGTGTGTGAAGGAGCGAGCCATTCATACCTTCCAGCTCACGTACTCTTTACAATAACCCTATGAGGTAAACAGTGCTATGACCTCCCTTTATGGAAGAAGAAATGGACACTTAGCCCAAGTCTAAGGCCACACAGCTAGTGACAGTGGAGCTGGAACACCCAGCTCATTTTGTCCCTTAGGATAACTTTAGCTAGACCAAAAAAAAAAAGTTCTAGATGATTAGAAAGTGCCAGAGGTGTATCCTTCTCCCCCTCCTGCCCCTGCTCCCCAAAAGTATAGATTTGTCATGAATAAGCATCAGTTAGATTACGGGAATAAAAGAACTAGAAAGTGCTTTCTTAGTTGAAATTCATTAGTTTAAATTTCGTTGGGGCGAGTATGTAGCTTGTGGCACAGCACTTATCTGGCATGTGCAACACCCTGACTTTCCTCCCCAAGCATGGCAAGAAATAGAAATGAAAAAAAAATTACAATTCTGAAGCCCAAATTGATTGGCCCCACAGGTCTTTCCCTTGTTGAGCACTCATTTATCCCAGGCACTGGCTATGTCCTCCTCTGCCCTGTGAATGCTGTCACAGAAGAGGGCTGTTTCCCCCATCCCCTCCCACCGCCCCGTCTCCCAGCCCTGGGTCCCTCAGGTCTGGAAGCCAAGGCCCTGTTCCTTAGGCCCTTGTGATGGTGTAATGGTGTAGATGCTGTTGAGACCAGTATGGTGAGGCCCAGGGAGGAGTCAGAGCCTCATAGAGCTCAGAGTCCTACTTTTCTTGGGTGGGGATTAGTAAGGCAGTCAGTGGAGGGTACCTAGGGCCAGAGGAGAGATTACCTTGTCCTTGACGAAGGCAGCCAGTGGTCCCTTGCCCAACTCTGATGAAGTCTTCTCACTGCTGCTGAGGGACGGAGCCACCATCTGCCCAGTTGTGCGGTCCACGTAGATGAAATGCACCAGGCCTGGGAAGTCCTCCAGGTAGGTGAGGGCTCGAGTTAAGGGGCTTACAGCGCCAGGTACTGGGAAGGGCTGCTCCTTCTCACGGCCTCTCACTCCAGCCACGCTCTAGAATTCTGGGATGTATCCCATCCTTAAGGAGCTCTTTGGGTCTTTAAACATCTGTACATCTACCACAGACACCTCTGGGCCCGTTTGGAGGATGAACTTGGATACACACACGAGAGGGTCCCTGCCCTCACTTGCTCTTGTACGTCGTCCGTCACTGCTGTTCATGGGAGAGGTGGGAAGGCTGCCACATGAATGGGGAATGCCCACTGAAGGGCAGTGGCTGGTGAGTGAGAGACCCTCTGGCCTCCTTCTCACCCACCTCAGTCTCAGGAGACTGAGACCTGAAACTTAGGAGGTTTAAACATAGGAAGACTTCATTGACGTTTCCTGGTGTGTGTGTGGAAAATCACTAGTCAATAAAACTAGTGTTCCAAAGCCTAAGGGCCAAACAAATCTTGGAAATGGTTCTCTACACAGGGAAATACATTTATGGCAGGCCTTCTCAGAGCCTTTACCTGCCGTTGTGTACTAAGAGGATGTGAGGAGGCTGACGTAGAACTCTTTAAAAAACCAGACCACAGGAAGTGGGTTCTGGCAGACATCACTGCCACAAAGGATGTGTAAGCTTCTGCGTTAACATTGGGACAGTAGGGACTGCTAAAATTCCATCCCTGGGGTGGTCTTACTGGTGGGGTGGTCTTACTGGACAGACTTACTCCATTGTTCTTCAGGATTCTTTTAGTAAGGATGATAGAATACACGGTGACCTTTCGCCAGGAACTGTGTTCCTGGAGCTCGGAGGCTTTCTTGCGCTGTCTGGGCTAGGCACACTAGGATATGACACCATGGTGATGTTCCTTCTGCTCTTCACCAACAGGAAGTCCTTCCAGTCCAGCAGCCTCTCCCTGCCAAGGGAGGCCGGGGTACAGGGGCTGCTGTGAGTGCACCCTGTGCCAACCAACATCCCCTCCGTCAGCCCGGGGTGCATGCGTGCACTCACCGCATGATCCTCTGGAGCTGGTCCTGCAGGTGCGGGGACAGGTATGGGCCTCCCCTGCTGGGGGCCGTGGCCAGGAAGCTGAGACGGTAGAATGCACAGAGCTGCCGCTTTAGCTTCCCACATACCTGGAGCAGCCTGGGCATGGGGAGATGAGAGTTTTGCCTCAGGCATGGCAGAGCACGTGGCTCGTGTGGCCTTGCTGATCAAATACAATACACCTCCTCACAGGCCAGCAGGCAGCTGCCTCGTACTTTTTTACCCTGTGGTACTCCATATCTCATGACATCTTGTCTGTCAGTTTGCTAATTTATATGGAAATGTGTATGCTGGAAGTGTCATCCGGTTCTACAGCTATGGTTGAACATAGGCCTTTGGATCTCTGGGGTTGGGTCCTTGGCCTCTGAGGCTCCACTTCCAGCCTCCCAGGAGCTGCCTGTCAGTGCAATCCCCACGCATTTGCTTCTTCCTGTGCCTTCTCTTCCCTGGGCCTGGAGGGATCTGGTCTAAGTGACTCCCCATCCCTAAGGGCCCACCACTTACTCCCAGGATGATCCCGGTTCACTTTTGGAGAAGGCCTTGGTCTTAAACTCCAGCCAGGTGTTCTGCAAAGAGGATGGACGGCAGGTCAGTTTCCAGACTGCATTCTGCAGTGAGGTCCAGGGGAGACTTCCCAGGCGGGGTCTTGGGAAGGCAGCAGATTCCAGACACACCTGCCCTGTGCAGCCATAGCTGGCTTCAACAGCCTTTCCCTTCCCCGCACATATAAACATTTCTGTGAGCTTAGTGTGGGGCTCCCAGCCTCTGTGGGTGCACATCCATACACTAATGCCACCAGAGTGACCAGGAGAGTCCCTCCTGGGGATGGCAGTGGGGGTGGCCTTGCAGGAGACTGGGTGGCTCTCCTTGAAGGGTGAGACTTGGCATTCTAACGGGAGCACCGCTGTGATGCCTGAGGCATTGTGAGATGCTGCTCTGCTTGCTGACTGCCAAAACGCATCAGCATCTTACTCTTCCCTCCTCCAATCCTTCTGATCTTTTCACATCAACATACATTCCAGCCAGGGATGAATCCCGGCTTCTCCAACAGCCCCAGGCCCAACCAGCTGCAGAGCAGCTCCCAGCGACCCTTTCTCCTGAGCCTCCCCAGCTCTGAGCTAGGTGGTGCTGGGGCACAGAGATCACCTGATCACTGCTATTCATGTACTGTCCCCATGGTTGTGCTCCACAGTTCAGGAGTGAACTGTGTTCTGCACTGTGTGTGTGTGTGTGTGTGTGTGTGTGTGTGTGTAACTGTGTTCTGCACTTTGTGTGTGTGTGTGTGTGTGTGTGTGTGCTAACTCTGTGCCCAGGTGATCAGCCACCCTGCAGGGGGAATGCCCTGTGATGGGCAAGTCACTCCTCTCTTTTTTTAAGTCATTGCATCCAGACTCCGGTTCTACCATTCATGGGGTGGCTGGTCTTGGCTATGCCAGGACGTTATCGAAACCCCAGTTTCCTCATTTGAAACATGTGGATTCTAATTCCTGTTAGAACTTACATAAAAAGGTCCTGAAAACATACAGTGAAGGGATTTGGTTTTTGTGATTGTTTCCTAATGGGGAAAGCAAAGATCAGAGAACTGAGGGGGAGCAGGAATAGATGGCAGCCCTGCCACCCCAGCCCTGCCTCTTCTCCTCAGACTCGGCACAGATGGGATCCAGGGCCTACCTGAATCTCCTGTCCCCCTCGATTCTTGACAAACTTGTCCATCCTCTGGCGTAGGTCTCCCACAAGGGGCTGGGAGCGGAGGGCACTCCTGGCCTCCTGGCCCTCCTTCAGCTTCTTCTCCAGCAAAGAGAAGCCATCTAGCAGCTGGTACAGGACCAGAGCAAGTGGAGTGCTGGGACTCTACAGGAAAGAGCAAAGGCCCGGGTGGAACGGGCAGCCAATGAGAAGACGTGTAGGCCCTAAGGTCCCCAGGGCAGTGCAGGGGTGGGGGGGTGTCTGTACCTTGGTCAGAAGCACCATGTTAATGCCTGGCCACAGAGGAAGGCAGTACATGGTGTGGGGCACCAAGGGGCAATAGTTCTCCTTTATGTTGGCATCCAAGAAGATTCTCCTATGGCTGGAAGGTGCTGGGGAGTGAGGAACCAGGGCCTGGGGGGATTCTTCAGCTATCTGCGGAAGGAGAAGAGCTATGAGGAGGGAGGGTGGGAGGGAGGGCAGGAGGAAGGGAGGGAGGAAGGGAGGGAAGGAAGGAAGAAGAGTGAGAACAAGGAAGGGAAGTAAGGAGGGAAGAGGAATTTGGTCTCCCCATCAGCTTAGATCTACCCATGGCTGTCTTGGTTCCCTTGTTACTTATGAACTATAAGAAACAGAAATGTTTAGCTCCAAGAAATCCAGGTTCTTAGGTCTCTATCTATTGGCACTGCCCTAGCAGCCACTGTCTTCTGTCTGTCTGTCAGCTTCTACTGGGTTTTCCTACCCAGAATCAGGGCTGGATGCCATGCAGGGAGGTGGGAAGGGGCATGGGCGTGGGCTGGGTGGTCAAGGAGGAATCCAGAAGGCAGGAAGACAGACACAAGAGAAGAGTCTTGGAAGGGCTTCTGCTCTGCCTTCAGTTAAGAGGAGGGCAGTCAACATTTAATATCTTCCTTGTGTGACCCACACTTGGGCCTGTCCTGTCAGCCTTCCAACCCGAGGACACGGACAAAAAAGTGACTCAGTAGCCAAGAAAGACTCCAGCCTTAGGCAGGGGTTCCGAGTACAGAAGTCCTTAATGGGAAAAACCAGAGAATTAAGAGAATCATTGAGATGCGTACAAACATTTCTTGATAAGGATGTCACGCCAGTGTATGTAACACAGCACAAGACTGGAAACAAGGCACAGCTTGCTTGTTCTGGGGCTCTGCTAAGTAAACAGCAGCATATGCAAGGGCCGGACTCACCAACAATCCGTAAAACCCACAATGCCGCAGAGTGCATTAAGTCAAAAAGTAGAATGAAGACAGCAGGCTCTAAATGCGATCCAAGGAACCAACACATTTACACATATATACAGCAAGTTTATGTAAAAACATAGGAATAAGACTAGAAGGAAACACCCTAAAATGGTAACCCTATTCTGGGGATGGGTCTGGGGGTGATTTTTTTTTTGAAATATAGAATATTGGAGTCTTTATTATACAGTTAGCAGGCTGCAGGCAGCCAGTTGTTACAAAGGCCTGGAGCCCCTGGGGGGTGATTTTTATTCCCTTTTCTATACTTGGCTTTTGTTATGTTTCATTTTTCTGTAATGAATGTTTATATTTAGATTTTTTTTTTTTGGGTCCGGTCGTGGGGCCTGAACTCTGGGCCTGGACGCTGTCCCTCAGCTCTTCAGCTCAAGGCTAGCACTCTACCACTTGAGCCACAGCGCCACTTCCGGCTTTTTTCTTTTTGCTTATGTGGTGCTGAGGAATCGAACCCAGGGCCTCATGCATGCAAGGCAAGCGCTCTACCAAAACTTAGACTGGACTTTCATTCCCAAGGAACAGAAGTATGGTGGGGACTGGTCACAGTGAGGCCAGCATCTGAGGGTCACCTCATTCCTCTCCCTGCCCCCCCTGGGCTGAGCAGCCCTGCCAGGACAGCCGCAGGGCTGGCTCTGTTAAGTCTGACAGAGCCCCCAGCATCTCAGATGAGGGGTGACCAGGCATACCCAGGGGACTCACCTGAGATACATCCATGGGTGAGGTGTTGCCATCCAGCCAGACAGTACTACCTGCAGGTCACAGGTGAGAATCTATCATCACTATTGCGAGGGTGTGCAGCATGCTAGAGGAGCTGGGGCCTAGGAGCTCGGCCCAGCATGGCTCATCTCCATGCACCAGGCAGGGACAAAGGCATTTTACTATGGCTGCAGCCCCCAAAAGGCCAGGCAGCCCAAGTGTTCCTGCACCTGGCCAGGACCAGGGTGAGGCAACCTAGGAAAAGAGAGGCTTCCTGCAGAGCAGAGCCAGCTGCTAGGAACTGAGCTCCTGGGCATGCATGTGGCGTGCCCTCTCTCTCTTTCTCTCTCTCTCTCACTCTCTCTCTCTCCCTCCCTCTCTCTCTCTCTCCCTCCTTTCCCTTCCCTCCCCTCTTTGTGTGTGTGTGTGTGTGTGTGTGTGTGTGTGTGTAGTTAATTGGAGATAAGAGTCTCACGAACTTTCTTGCCTAGGCTGACTTTGAACTATGATCTTCAGATCTCAGCCTACTAAGATGAGAAATGGTTTCCAGTCATCATTTTTTATTTCACCTTTTACAGGTGTGGGCCCCCAGTGCATGGCAACCCACTACATTGTATTTTAAAAGTTCTGCTTCTTTTTACCATCAGATTTCTGGTTATCTATCTTTGGCATCCTGGACTTATCACACCTACCATTATAGATTTGAATATTACATGTTTGCAATGATATTGTTCTCTTTTATATTTCTTTGCAAATAACCCTCATTTGTAATCATGCTTTTCTGGATGCAGTGGGTTCAGTTTCTAGGTTTTATATACCTGATTTACAAATGGATGAGTGCGACTCAGGCCATTTGTAAGTTGTGAGTTCTGTGTGCACTAGAACATTATTTATAGCTATAGCAATGAAAAACTAAACACCTTGAGAGAAGGGCCGGGGGGGTGGTGATGAAGGAGGGAGGCGGGCAGAAGGAACCTCTGAGGGAGGTTACCTTGCAGGGAGCTCAGATGCTCTGAGAATGATTCTGGACCCTCACCCAAAAAAGAGGCACAATTTTAGAGGCTCCTGTCCATACACGGAAAGTTAAGACTATCTAATCCAGAGTGTGCAACTTTGGCTGCCATTTAAAATCATTTGGAGCTGGGCGCCAGTGGCTCACGCCTATAATCCTAGCTACTCAGGAGGCTGAGATCTAAGGATCATGGTTTAAAGCCAGCCAGTGTAGGAAAGTCCATGAGACACTTATCGTGAAAAACCACTAGAAAACTAGAAGTGGCGCTGTTGCTCAAATGATAGAGCGCTCGTCTTGAGCTGAAGAGCTGAGGGAAGCAGCCAGGCCCAGAGTTCAAGCCCCATGACCGACAAATAACCCCTATTGTCACTGTATTTGATGTTGGTGCCCTGCATCTTGTATATACACTTCTCTAATTTGGGGAGGGGAAGGGAAAAAACAAAATGCTTAAATAAGGATACAGGTTGACCCATTGTAACAATGAGATGTACAAAATACTATGTTGAAAATGAACTTTACAACTTCAATGGTGGGGGTGGGGGGGAGTTGTAGAGATGGGAGGGAAGGGATGGTAGGGGAAAAACAAAGGAGGAGGTAACGATGCTCAATAGGAAACGTACTCATTACCTTGCTCATGTAACTATAACCCCTCTGTACAGCATTTTTACAATAAAAAACGTACAAAAATAAATACAATAAAATAAATCATTTGTGAAACTTTTTAAGGTAAATTCTGAAGAATTCTGCCCCCCACTCAAGGCCCAGTCCAATGGAGTCGCAATCTCATGAACAGAATCAACCTCAATGATTTTGAGTATTTATACTGCTTACCCACATAACTTTGGAAAAACAGGTATATGCTACAAAGAATGTATTTTCATATGGACTTGAAATCAAATGACTATTTCTTAAGTTCATTTAATGACTCAATTATTAGTTATAACAAAAGAAAGCTGAGGGTGAGAATATACACGTAGATATACTTTTTAATCAAATTGACTTGCCATGCAAAGCACTGGGGATTGCTCGAGTGGTCTTGGCACTCTGAATTCGAGCAGGAGGTGGCAGGGCAGGGAAGGGCCTCAGCCAGCATCCTGCTCTCTAGGAATCTGAGTATAAATAGCTGGTGCCCTTACAAGGCCTGGGCCCAGTGAACTGCACTACTACAGAGTCCCCGACTGCCCCCACATGGCAACCATCCTTCTTCCCTCGTCTTACCTGAGCTCTGTTCACTGGGAGAAGGAGCTGGTGTGAAGTATTCCTCGGGGATGTCAGGGTCCTGGATGGAAAGAGAGCAGCTCAGATTCCAACCACAGGGTCAAGGGCAAGATGAGTGCTGGCCCTTCTCTTTCCCGGATGGGTCAGGCCATACCGTCTCTGCAGAACTCTCTGCCGTGGGGTGGGAGGGGCCTGTGGGGCTCGTGCTGTCCACGCTCCAGGCCCGCTGCACCGGGATGCTCTGGCTGCTCCGAGGCCTCCTCTGTGGGAAAGGCTGTGATGGGGCAGGGCAGAGGCTCATCAGTGCAAGTCTGACCGGCCTGGGCCTGTGTCCTGCCTCCCAGCACTTCAGAGAGAAGCCTTTCTAATGCGAAACTCTGGGACTGAGGAGCCCCGGCTTTCCAGGGGTGCTTCATTTCTAGGTACTTTACTACTGAACTTCTAGAAAACCCAATATCCTAGTATCCAAGCTGCGAAGACTACCACTGATGATAAGCAGAACGTCCATGCACCTCATGGTGCCGAGTGCTGCCACACCCTGGCACTGTTGTGTTCAATCTCCTTCATCCCTGCTAATGCCCCTCTAGAGACCGACCACCTGGGGACAGGGGACTCAGAGAGTAGCAAGCAGGCCTGGGCCCTGATCACACAGCTGGCTTCCAGGACTAACTCTACAAATCTGAATTTTTTTTTTTTAATGTCCCAGAATCTGTGCCTTCCAGAACTTTCCATCCATCTGAAGTAACAAGAAAAACACCCCAACTATGACTCGGAGGGTATTCATCACTCTCCAGGCAGGTTTCAGAGCCACTTCCCTGACTGCCCGCCTCCTACAGCTCTGAGACCTGGGTGCCGTCCTCCTCTTCGTCCACTGTGCTTGGGCTGGGGTGGAGGTCCTGCACCAGGAGGATGAGGGCCAGAAGGTCAGCAGGGCGCAGGGTGCTGGCACCATGGCTACAGAGACACAGGCAGGCAGCTTGTTAGCATGTAACTTAATCTGTCCTGGAGACAGGCAAGGTTTACGTAACATTTAACCTGTCGATTTTTGAACATACAACTTGGTTGAGAATAAGGAAAAATTTACAAATGGGAGGTTCAAAGGACCACAAAGAGCATAAAAGGAGGTGCTCTTCTCCCACACCTGTGGAGAAGGGCTCACATAGCAGTAATGGGGGCGTGAGCTGGACGGAGGCGTGGAGGAGGCTGGGTCAGACGGCGCCACACCTGCCCTGGGCTCACCTGGAGTAGAAGGCCAGCAGCTTGGTGTGGACTAGCAGGAAGGCGTGCTGAGCCTCCTCGCCGCCCTGCGCAGGCTTGGAGTTGACAGCCTGGATGACGTGTCGCTCCAGTGCCTCTATGCACAGTTCACAAAGCTGGGGATGAATCAGCCGCTCCACAGCCTGGGCAGGGGTGGTCAAGGAAGGAAGCCATGTCACCTCTACTGTCCTGCTTCGAGGCCCGGGGCTCCCTCACCCAGCCCATCTGGAGCTCACACTAGACACCAAGTATTAGAGAGTAGGGAGACTTAACCTGGTTCCAATCTGCCTGAGACTTCCAGAATGGCCCCCAGGCTCTAGTGGATGAGACAGGCAATAAACAAAGCAACTGAGAGTCAGGGTCAACGGTGAGGTGTGCTGAACTGGAAAGACACGGATGTGTCTAGAGAGAAATAGGAGAGGGTGTCCAAAGAAGTGTCCTTGAGGAGGTGACTAACACTGATACCTGAGGAGATGAAAAGCCTTCCAGAGAAAGAGAAGGAGAACACAGCAAGCCAAGGAAAGAGGTGCAAAGGCCCTGTGGTGTGGAGACAGTATGGAACAGTGCTGTGTGCCTGAAACAGAAGGCAAGTCCTATCAGTGATTTAAAACTTTGTCGTTAAAAAAAAAAGAAACAGGTGATATCGAGCTTTATATTTTGTTTTACCCAACCTATCAACTATAGTACCAATATATCACACAAGAGCAACATTAATTGGATATTCCTATATTGTTTGGTGCCAGGTCACCCAAGTTTTGTGTGTATTCCATGCGCAGCAGACCTGGATTGGGACTAGACACTCTCAAGTGTTCAAAACCCATACGTGGCTAACGACTAACGTATTGGATGGAGATCACTGTAGAGAATTCCTGAGATGGAAAGAAGGCCTAGATCACCGAGGCACAGTGAGGACAAGAGACCGTAACAGAACAGACAGGACCTGGTGGGCTTGGGGAGAGGTCTGGGTTTCATCTGAACTGCATTCTGTAACAATTCCTCTTGTACAAGAAGTCTTTTCTGATCCCCCAGGAAGAGCTGACTGCTTCATCCTTTGTGCCATCATGGATTTTGACAGGGAAACAAATTTGGCAGCCAGGGTGCTTTATTGTACTTTTAGTAGCCATGTGTGGCGCATTTCCTGTTGCGGGCAGAGAATGTGTCCTTCTACATCCAGGCCTGCTGTTTGCTCCCGCACCCCATAGTCACCTCCACCGCGAAGCTCTGCTCCCGCTCCCTCAGGTGGTTGTAGGTCCTCAGCAGGCTCTGGAAGCGTGCCCACACCTGCACACGTTGCTCTAGGTCAGGGGGCCGCAGTCTGGAGACAGATCCCAGGAAAGTGAGGGACTGTGAGAAAGCTAGCCAGCTCTAACTCCAACCCCAAGGGCCCCACCCAGATCAGTATCAGACACCTAACTAGAAGTACAGAGGCCATGTTTCCAGTGGTGCCCTGGTTGCTGGGTGGTATGGCATGGGTGCCAGGGCTCAGGCACATGAGCAGATGACTTCATTCCTTCATCTCTTACACACAGACATACGGAAGCCCCCTGGGAGCCAGGAAGGTGCCTGTTTCCTGTGCCTCTCACGTCCCTCACAAATCCCTGAAAACAATCTGTGCATCTCTTGAGCAGAGATACAGCCCCCTTAAACACTGAGAGTAACCCTGTGTCTGGGCATCCACGGCCTGCAGCTTGGGTGCTGGCATTATTACCACTGGGGCTACAATGATTTGTGAAACAATGTCTGCTCATTTCAAAACTCAAAAGACCCAGGATTTCAAATCGCAGCTTTGGAGGATCAAGTGGTCTAACCTTGCTCTTCCCCCTTTCCCAGGGCCCTTCCCACCTCTGGGTGTGCTCTGAAGACTGTTCTCATTCACTGAGCTCTTTACTGCAGGCCCAGAGGTGGGCTTGAGGGACCCGTGGGGGCAGTTTCAAAAAGGATGGACACATCCCTCCAAGAGGCTGCTCAGCAGAAGACAGAGGGGGGCAGCTGAGAGGACTCACTCCTTTCGGATGAGCTGGCTGTCCATAGTAACCAGCCCGAAGTGCACCTCGAACAGGTACTTGAGCACACACAGTTTCCGTCGAAGGTCTGCCTCATTCTCCATGTGGTCCCCATTGATGGCGATGAACAGGCACTCTCCAAACTATGGGCATGGCCACAGGTGTTAGCCAGCCCTGGAGAGACTCCCATCACCCACCCTGATCTTGGAAGACAAATGAGGAAGGGCCAGGGTCCCAGGGATTCTGAGGAGATATAAGGGGAAAGGGTGTGGCCTTCTTGGAGAGCAGGGGGAAGAGGAACAGGGTGGGGCTACACACACACTCACCAGGTGAAGGACATACAAGTGATCATCATTTTCCGTGGAGAAGCAGGTGTATGTGTCTGAGAGTTTCTCCAGCATTGTCATGGAGGAGATGATGATGGGTGCCAGGAGAGTGCTCAGCTGGTCCTCCAGTGCAGGGAGCTGCAAGCCAGGGAGAAAGCAGCACTGCTCAGTGTGCCAGACTCTGGCTACGGAACTAACAGGACCCAGGACCCTCCCTGGGAGGGGAAATCTGCCCCTACACCTTGGGTAGTTGCTAGGAAGACGGGAAAGGGGTATGCTGGGTAACTATGTAGTCCAGGCTCTGAATGTGGAAGGCAAAGTTGAAGAATTAGGCACGTTTCTACCGTGGAATGCCTGGGGCCTGCCATCAAGAACCCACCAGCTCTAAGGAAGTCTGCCGTGTAGACCAAGGTCCATGCTGTTTGTTGGCATGGACTTCTTTGAGGAGAATTTATCCTAAGAAAAATGATCAGAAACGGAAACAAAGCTGTGTGCATAAAGACGTTCACTACAGCATAATGTATGGTTAGAGATACTTAGAAAAAATGCAAATTCCAACATGGTTAAGGCAGTTAAATAACAGCACATCTAAATGATGGAAGCATCTATGTATAAAATCTATATGCCTACTTTCAATGATGCAGAAAATTCTCTTGACACAATATTTTTTAACAAATGTATGTGGAATAAAGTATTGAAAAAATTTTAAAGACACCGTTTAAATAATTATAATGATGATTTTTTCCTCTATTTTTGTTTTTTGGTTTCTGTACTTCTTCTATTTTCCATAGCAAGCATGCATTTACTTTGATAAGCTTTTCTGCCTCCATTCTCACTACACTCTCAAAGAAGGAACAAAACAAGTAAAGCAGAAACAAAAGAAACTGGACGAATGTGCTGAGAATCCGTGAATAGACATGGGAGGAAGCCACAGACAACTGCGGCTCAACACTCAATGCCGGAGAGGAAAGAAAGAAGGGAACAGCTGGTCTTCTCTGACTGCTTTCAGGAGATTCAGATGGCTAGTGGGGAAGCCAAGTCCTTACCCCAGACTGTTGAAATCCACAAGGAGCTGAGTAAACCCTTGCCTCAAAAAGAGCCAGGTGCTAGTCATCAGGAACGCACAGCACTACGATTCTGAGCACGACAGCACATGTCTGCTTGCTAACGGTCTTGGTGCTCAGGAAACTGGAGGTGTATCCAGCTCTCACAGTGGTTCCATCCTGTTATTCTCACTCCAGCTCGGATGACTCCTTTACCAGCCACACTTGGGCTACTCTCCTCTAGTCATGCCCCAACCCCCACAGCCCATCCAACATCTTCAAGCTGAACTCAGGGCACGTGCTTACCCTCCTGTTTACTGTGCATTGTCCCTGTTTAGTCCTGAAGTTCCATGGGCACAGAAACCATTCTGATTTGTCACAGGGGCCCACATAATAGGTTCTCTGGTAGTGTTTGTTGAATGACTACCCTCTTAGGCAAAACCCAATAACTGTACAATTACTCACCTATAATTTCCTTGAACTGTCACAATTCATGCAAACAGAAAAGGCACTTAAAAAAAATCTAGATCTAGCAACTCATCTTAAAAAGTAGCAGCTTTTTCTACAGGTAGAGTGAGAATTTTCTTTTGGTGGGAATTATAAAGTGCTACCATATCTTTGAATAGCTTTGCGACTTTTTCTCTATTTTTAGGTATAAGCATAATGTTCCCTATAACAAAGTGATAGCTAGCAAGAAGCACTCTATACACCCAGCATTAGGGAAATGGTTAACTAATGATATATTTATTCACCTCCTTGAATATAATGATGCTATTAAGAATTATGCTTTTGAGAATGTTTAACACAGTGGAAGAATGATTTTGACATAATGGGAAGTGAGGAAAAAAAACACCAGGAAGTAAAACTGTAAAAAAAGAAGTCCAAAGCAAGTATGTTAAGAAATTAATAATAGCTTTGGGTAGCGGAATTAGGGGTCACTTATAAAGTATTTCTCTTTCCAAATTCCCACAAGTAACTTAGGTTATTTACATGATCAGAAAAAAGTGAGTGTGGCATACTCAAAAATAAAACTTTAAACCCTTTTTTCCTTTTTATCCTATATATCCAGGCTTTTAATAATAAGGAAGAAAGGCCTGCCAAGTTGTCTTCCTCCTTCTCCTCTTCATCCTCTCTTCCTTCCTCCTCCTACTTTCTCCTTCCTCTTTCCCCCTTCCTTCTTTTGTCTCCTTCTTCTTTTGGTGGTACTGGGCTCTTGAACTCAAGGTCATGTGCTTGCTGTGTAAGGGGTCTATCATTTCAGCTATACTCTAGAATTTTTTATTTTTTTGGGGTAGGTTTTTGTGCTTTTTTTCCCCCATGCCAGTAGTTATAGAACTGAAAAGCCACAAAAAGGTTGTTTAAAAATTATAGACATTTGAAAAATGAACTTTAAAACTTTGGTGCGGGGGGGGGGGAGGAGGGTAGTGGGGAGGATTGGGTAGGGGGGCAGGGGGGGGAGGATGGGAAGGGATGGGAAGGGGAAACAAAGGAGGAGGCTACAATGCTTGATAAGAAATGTACTCATTATCTTGTCCATGTAATTGTAACCCCTCTGTACAGTATTTTCACAATAAAAAATAAAAATAAAAATAAAAATAAATTAGAGACATTGCTGGGTACTGATTGCTCATGCCTGTAATCCTGGCTACACAGGAGGCTGAGATGTGACGATGGTAGTTCAAAGTTAGCTGGGCAGAAAAGCTTAAGAAACTCTTTTCTCCAACTGACCAGCAAAAGGCCAGAAGTGAAGGTGTCTCAAATCTTAAAGAGTGAAAAAGTTAAGCAAGTGTAAGAGGTCCCGAGTTCAAGTTCCAGTACTGGTACCATTTCCCATCTCCCCTTCCCCCCCTCCCCTGCCCCTGCTCCACACCCCCACCAGCCAAAAAAGAGACATTGACTGCTAAAAAAATTTTTAAAGCCTTCAAGACAGGCTTCATTTTAACTTAAATATAAAATCACTGGAATTTCTATACTCTCTGGAATCTTGTTCTCTCCTAAGATTGACAAGAGTTGCCAGTAGGCTATGCTGAGTCAAGCTGCTACAGAGAAATGGGTTGGGTAGCTGGAAGTTAGAGGCACAATCTCACAACACAGCAGGAAGGGCATTGAGGCAGACAGTCTGTGCTGCCCCTAAGAACAAACAACAAAAAAAACCCCAAAATGTTCTTAGTCCTATTTATTATTTCAAATCACCCAACTCTCCATATGAAATATATATGTATATATGTATGTGTGTGTATATATATATATATATAGAGAGAGAGAGAGAGAGAGAGAACTTTAACCCAAAATTAACCTAGTGGGAAAAAAAGAAACTCAAATGAATTCCACCTTTAAACTGCAGAATGGAAATTACATAAGTAAAAATGCCGAGTACATTTGAGTGATATTAAAAATAGCAAACTTGATATTCATATACAAAATAAATTAACCTCGATCCATACTCAAAGTTCATCATCTTCAAAGTTCAACGTGAATCACAGCCATAATCCCAAACTCAAAACTAAGTTAGGCATGGTGACACACATCTTTACTCCCAGCACTTGGGAGTCAGAGACAGAAGGATTGGTGTTTGAGGCCAACCTGGGCAAACAAAGTTCTCGAGACGCCCCTTCAACCAATGACTGGGCATGCTGGTGCACACTTGTTATCCCAGCTATGGGGGAGCACAATGGCTAGGCCTGGTGCCATGCACCTGACATCTCCAGTGACACAGGGAAGCTTAAGTAGGAGGATCACAACCTAGGCCAGCCCAGGCATAAAGTGAGACCCGAGTTCAATACTAATCAATACAAGTTGGTGGCTCACACCTGTAATCCTAGCTACTCAGGAGGCTGAGATCTGAGGATTGCAGTTCAAAACCAGCCCAGGCAGGAAAGTCCATGAGACTCCTTATCTCCAATAAACCACCAGAAAACCGGAAGTGGTGCTGTGGCTCAAGTGGAAGAGCACTCACCTTTAGCTAAAGAGCTTTAGGGATGGCACCCCAGCCCAGAGTTCAAGCCCCAAGACCGACAAAAAATAGGGGGGTGTTGGAGGCATAGTTCAAGTGGCAGAGTGCCTGCCTTGAGTTCAATCCCTAATAGCATTAAAGAATTTAAAAATAATAATTGAATGCATTAAGCTTATGCTAAGCTTTTAGGCAGAGGGCCCAAGTTTCTCAGATTTTCTAAGTTCCTTTTAGTCTCTTCCACCACTATGTTTCTTCTATCTTCTTGCACCCTTGTTGGTAGTCACTGCACCTCAAACATGAAAAGATCCTATGTGCAGGGTACTGGATGAGCACAGGCTCTGCCAAGCCCTCCAGCTCATCCAGGATGGAGGCAGACATCTCCCAACTTACCTCCTCTTCCTCATTCTCTGTATGCCCAAACTTCAGCCGGAGACTCTCTTCAAACTCCTCATCTGTCCAATAGAAGAGGACCTCTGCACCCTCTGTGGCCACCAAGACACATTTCATCTGCCAAGGAGAAGCAAGGTCAAGGGCCTTCCCAGCCCCTCCACATATGAGCTCAGCCTGAGTACTGAAGAGGACCCTCACCCCAACACATAACCACCAAGCCCTTGCTGCATGCCAGGCACCACCACAAGGATCTTCGTGGTGCTATTTCACTGCACCTTAACGGAAGTTCAACTTTAGTACTTCCAGTGAATGGGGCAGCTCCCAGACAGCTGCTTGTGACAGATGCATGGGCTTCAAATCCTCCTCCCCTCCCATGGACTTCAGTGTGCCTCACCGAGATGACTGGGCTATACAAGTGCAAAAGGGGAAGTTAGGAGGCGTGGCCCTAACTTTCACATGGGAAGTCTCCAGTTTCCCAGGAGGCTCACAATATCTTAAGGTCCTGGACCCTTCACTCTCCAGGATCCACTAGTAATCCTGCTCAGTGGTCCTCACTGTGTTCTTCTCAAAGCTCCAGTGGGCTTATAAACTTGAACCCATTGTCCTTTAGTGTTTAGAGGCTACCATGGTGAGGCTAATAGCATATCAAGCAATGAAGAGCATCGCCACTCCTCAGGCTTGCTAGCTGGGAGAGACTGCCAGAGCACAGGGTGTGCAGAAGAGATGGGAGGGGAGAAGCTCTGGAGGACTTGTAGGTGAGTGGGACAAAATTGGGAGAAATAGTCTTTGGACAGAGGTTGTGGTTGAGAGGAAGGGAGTGATGGAAAGGATAAAGGAGACCCTAGGCAAAGGTAATGCATAGCTGGGGATGAGGTGTGGGAGGACAGAGTATGAAGGGCCTAGAAGGGCTCAGGCTCCTATCCTGTCTGCCATTAACAGCCCTAGAGTGGATGCCCCCTACTGCCCTCTCTGCCCCAGAGAGGACCATCTACCTTGGCAAGAAGCACAGCAGAGCTTCCAGGGAGCGAGACTCGGTGACCAGCTCAGGGAACAGCCGCATAACATCCTCAGATCTGCAAATGCTTTAGACAGAGAGCGTGAGTGTGAGGACCAGCAGAGGCCCTGATCCCACTGCTGCCAGTTAGTTCCCAACAAGCTTGGGGAGGGGGGAAGGTTGTGAAAGGTCGCAGGTCTTCCTTCAACCCCCATGAGGGAGACCAGGCACAGACCAGAGGGCCTCCGGTGCACAGCAAAGTCCACATACATTAGTTCCCCTTTTCTCCACTTCCTCTGAAGGGCTCACTTCACTGCAGATGGCTTAGAGAAGGTGGAGCAGGCTCGGGGGAGGCTGTAGGGGTGACTAAGGGGGAGCTTGTACAGCACATCCCATCCCAGGCTGGTGCCACACAGTCCCAGTGAGAAGAGAAGGGGTAGGTCTCCTGGGAGGATGCCAGGAATGACAATCAATGAAGAGACAAGGCTTTGGGGGACAGGCTTCCAGCCTGGCAGAGCCAATGCTCTGCCAGGTCACTTAAACTTCTCAGACTCAAACTTCCACTGGGAGAGGAGGGAACAACGCCAGCTCTACCTCCCTGAGGGGTTTCAGGGAGAATCATGGAAGCAGCCAGCCAGATTGCTACCTAAGCTTAGCAATCGCCTTTGGGGGGGGCTGTAGAGGTGTGTGTGGGCATCATTATGCATATTTCCAGCTTCCCTTCTCCAAATAACAGGAATATTCAGACTTTGATAGAAGGCAGGGACGATCTAAAGGTTCACAGGAAGCCTGACACTGAAAACAAAAGGCAGAAGAGAAGGGAAGCACAGGGAACGGGGATTCTTAGGGGGCTGGGGTCTCTCGCGGCTGGACTCAGGTTGGGCCCAGCCTCGGGCGGGCGGGGAGGCCGCCAGGCCGCCCTCCTTCCCGGACGCCCAGCGGGCCTCGGGCACGGCGGAAGTTCAGCCTGTCCCCCCCCAGAGGCTGGGGCCCACCCCCCTGGGACATTTCCGGGTTCTCCCCGAGGTCCTGCAGTGGGAGGGGGCCCCTCCGAGGAGGGCACTGGCGGGCACGGGGAGCCCTAGGCCTGGCCGACCCAGGGGAGCCCCAGCGCCCCCTTTTCACGGCCTGGACCCCGTCCCCCCCCCCACACCGGCAAAGGGACCCCCCCCCGGGCCTTGCAGCCTCGCCCATCGGGGGAACGCGTCGGCGAGGCCCCCCAAGCCCCACAGCAGTGTCACCCCAAACATCCACGTCCCCCGAAACCTGCACGGCGACCCACGAAAGGCCTCCTGCTTAGGACAACCGCCCCCCCCCGTGGGGAGGGGGTGAGGCTGAGCCCCCCCTTCCCGGCAGGACCGTACCCCGCGGAAAGGGGGGTGACCAGAGCGGCGCTCGCACGGCCGCGGGACCCACGTACCAGCTCGCGGCTCCCGCGCCGGGGCGCTTCCGGGTGGGACCACGTGACCGCGCACGTGACCGCGAGCCCGCTCCGCGGGTTCGAGCCCCGCCCCCCGCCTGGCGCGGCGGGCTGCGGGCTGCAACTCCGGCCCCCAGCACCCCGGGCCCGCGGGGCTGCAGGTCTCCGGGTGCATTGCAGCCTTCTCCCGGGGACCTACGAGGCCCTCGGAGGACCGGTGCACCTGCGGCGCCCCGCGATTCCCCGGCGGGCCACGGAGGCCGCCCCCATCCGGCACCTCGGAAATCAAGGCCCGTCCCCACCCCAAGAAGAACTCCGTCGCTGAAGGTCGAACCTCGAGTTCGAACCCAGGCTTCCTGGCCCCTCGGCCCGGCCCTTGTCCGTTTCTGGTTTCCCCAGTTACCCCGGTTTGGGGGTGCTGCAGTCCCTCCCCTCCTAGAGAGGACCAGCCTGGCCTGACCTCTGCCCCCAAGCGGGCCAAGGGTGGCACTTCCTGACACGGATCACATGGGGGGGTGCCACTTAAACATCCTGTGAACTGGTATGGGCTACTCGGGGCGGGTGGGTGATGTGGACTTTGGGGGGAGGGAGTAGATCTCCATCCAGGCTACCCTTGGGTGCCTTCGTGCGCCCTGCCCTGCAGCAAAAGAAGATGCTGGAATTTGGTGGGAGAGGGCCGAGTAAGAGTTCTTTGGGAAAATCCGGAGGCCAAGGATGAAGTATTTCACCCCAGCTGGGAGTGGAACTATGGAAGGGAGCCTCGCTTCACCCCCACCACCCCGTTTACCTCGCCCTCTCTGGACATCCTCCGCGTCCCTTAGAGCAGCTGGCAGCCCCACCCTGGGCATGGCCACGGGCATCTCAGGATCCGCCTCTGCCACTGTGTCCACTCACACTCTTCATAAGCTGACATATTTGTTTTGTCCATTAAAAAAAAATCTCTATCTCTATATATCCATGGTGAGCATGGCATGGTATCTTGTAATTTTGGGTTTGCCTTTCCTTAATGAATAATGTTGTTTATCATTCATTGTGTGTGTGTGTGTGTGTGTGTGTGTGTGTGTTCACAATAAGAATGGGTGCAATAGCTGTTCAAATCCTTTATCCATTTAGAAATTTTATTATTATTATTATTACTACTAGGCTGTAGATATCTTTATGTTCAAGGACTCTCATCAGATATATGATTTACTTGTCAATGTTTTTCCTCTTCACTATGTGGTTTATCTTTTCCACTTAATGATATCACTTGTCTGCACCAAAATTACACATTTTGATGCAAACAAGTCAAACCTAGGTTTACTTTTTACAGATTTTTGTGTCAACCTAAGTTCAAATATTTTTGTGTGCTAGTAGAATTCACATAACAAAATTTTCATCTCACTCATTTTTAAGTATCCAGTTATGTGGAATTAAGTAAATTCAAAATGTATACCATTACCACCATCTATGTACATAATCCTTTTTCTCTTGTGGAATTGAAAGCCTGCATCCATTAAACAATAATTCCCATTTCTCCGCTCCCCAGCCCCTGGCGACCACTCTGCTACTTTCTGTCTCAATGGTGTTAAGTACCTCTTAGCAATGGGACTTATACAGTATTTGTCTTTTTCTAAGTAATTTACTTAACTAAGTATCAGATCCACAAGGTTTGTTTATGTTGTATCATTTGTCAGAATTGCCCTTTTAAAATCAGAATAATATTCTATTGTATGCATATCACATTTTGCTTTTCCATTCTGATTGTGAACATGGGGGTGGCAACTTCTTTCTGAGACCCTGGTTTTCATGGTAATTCTATGTTTAGTTTTTTTTTTTTTTAAAGAAAATCCATACTTTCCTCAATGTGTGCATCATAGTGCACGAAGGTTCATGTTTCTACACTTCCTCATTAACACTTGTCATTTTCGAGTGTAAGGTGGTTCAGTGTTTTATTTCACTAGTGGATAAAATTGTGTGGTATGTGTGTGTTTAAATTTGGAGCCATTTTCCAACATGGATGTACATTTTACAATTTCTTTGTATATTTGGATACAAGTTCCTTTATCAGATCTTTTTTTCTGTCCTCTTCCTCCTCCTCCTCCTCCTCCTCCTCCTCCTCCTCCTCCTCCTCCTCCTCCTCCCCCTCCCCCTCCCCCTCCCCCTCCCCCTCCCCCTCCCCCTCCCCCTCCCCCTCCCCCTCCTCCTCCTCCTCCTTTTGCCAGCATGCAGCTTTATCTTTTGAGTTTTTTGTTTGTTCATTTTTGGTTTGTTCATATTTTTTAAAGGTAGGATTTTAACTCAGGGCCTCACGTTTGCTAGCCGAGCTGCACTCACCATTTGAGCCACACCCCAGCCCTTTCTGCTCTGGTTATTTTTCAGATAAGCCCTAGTGTTTATGTCCATGCTGGCTTGGTCCTGGTTCCTCCTATTTGCCTTTCTGTATGGGTAATAGATAGGATGACAAGTACACACTACTGCACCCAGCTTGCTTAAGATGGGGGTCTCCTTAACTTTTTGCTTAGGCTGGTTGAGAACCACAGTCTTTGCCTCCTGAGTGTCTAGGGTTACAAGCATGAACCCCCACACATAGGTTACCTTTTCTTTTTCTTTCTTTTATAGAGACTTATTCTGCATCTAATATATAAATCTACATGAGGAGGAAATAGAGACATAACAGTAACCATCTGACATAGAATTGGGCCACAAGCAGGTTCAGGTAACTTTGGAGTCCACTGAATCAAACTCTTCTTTTTACAGATAAGGACACTGAGGGCCAGAGAGATTGAGTGACTTTTCCTCTGAAGTGGACAGAATCAATGGGATAACACTGCGATGATCTCTGGGTATGCCTGTTCATTTGGTCTGGAGTTGTGGCCTCAGATTCTTCAATGTCTATGAACCAGTTTCTTCTTTGAGGTTTCAAATTATATTTTTAGCCTGTCTAGAAGAGGGTGCAGCCTCTTCTAGACTTCTACCCTACTAACACAGCAATAGTTTTCTGATAAAAATCAGACAAATAGGTAGCGGAAAGTCAGAACTTAAGAAGGAGGGGGTAGATAGACAACAGCTCCCTTCAGAGCTTTAGGAGTGTATGAAGTCCTGTGGATTTAGATAGCACTACATTCAAACTCTAATAATCACTGTATAGCAAATTAGCTTTGGAGGGACGCCACACCATTGATTCATTTTCCAGCTCCTAGCATCCATCACAGTTTGTTCTCCTTTTCCATGAAATATAGTTGTTGGGACGTCAGTATTCAGGTGAGACCGTGCGACTAATTTCTGGCCAATGGAACTGAATGGAAAGGTTTTATTACCAGTTCCAGGTCAGGCCCCTTACTCACCTCGCCCCACACCCTCTCTGTATGTACGTGTGTGTGTTTCACTCACTCAACTTTATGCTGATGCCCATAGCAGCCTTGGAGGGAAGTACCAAAGATGGCAGAAAGTCTCCATCAGTCTAGATGGAAATATAACTACATGGGATAGAGCCACTGGTCTCTTTCCCTCTACCACCAACTGAACTTCATGTGGCATGAGATTCTGGGGTTCACCTGTTGCCTTGTGAATAGTTACCTTTAACCAATACAATCGATGACACAACATTTCATATCTCCTTAGAATAGTTGAACTAGAGCTGGTCAGGCAGAAGAAGAGGACAGTGTACCCTGAAGTCAAAGAAGCTCAGCAAGTGTTAGTTCATCCAGCAGTCTTTGTTGTTGTTGGTGGTGGTGGTCATGGGGCTTGAACTCTGGGTCTGGGTGCTGCCCCTCAGCTCTTCAGCTCAAGGCTAGTACTCTACCACTTGAACCACAGCGCCACTTCTGGTTTTCTGTTGGTTTATTGGAGATACCAGTCTTAGGGACTTTCCTGCCTGGGCTGGCTTTGAACCGTGATCCTCAGATCTCAGCCTCCTGAGTAGCTAGGATTACAGCCATGAGCCACCGGTGCCCAGCTCAGCCGTCAGTTTTAAGGTCAAGGTGTAGAGTGTGTGAAAGTTGCCCCCTTCTTCCCACAAAACAGCTCGAGAACAGAAAGTTAAGAGTAGTCACATTTTATTACTTACAAAACATTACCTCAAAATATAGACTACCCCATGGACCCAAACTCCCTGCAATCACCAGACTCAAATAAACCATACTGTAAACTGTTTTCTGGAAGGAAATATTAACACTTGTTAAAAATCCCCTGAACAGAGACAAAACTTTTCCTTGGAGGTGTTCCTACCCTCATTTTTTGCCAACTTCCAGATGAATAAAACAAAAGGTTTCTTTTTCTTCTTCTTCCAAAAAATATAATTTATCGTATAACATTTACAACTTGAAAAGGACTCCTAGGACATTTTCCCAAAGAATAGTAAGATGACATGGGCTTAATAATAGTGCCTGGTGTGGGCTGCCTCAAGGCCCCCCCCCCCCCCACCATTTCCTCTGCTGGCTCGTGGAAATGGTGGGTTGATTCACGAGCCAGTCACATGGAATTCTGTCAGCTCCTCTCAAACGTTTCTGGAACTCAAGACTGTTTGGAAGGAAGCAGTACCAATGCAGTGGGCCTCTTGTACTTCTACTTTCTTGTTCTAGAGTGGTATGTGCAAAGACCACCCCTAGAGTGCTGACTGATGGATTTGTTGTTTGGTCTGGGAAGATGGAGAGACTTCCAAACTTCTAATGGTAGCAGGAGAGGAGAGTGAATGTGGTATGTAGGTGATATCCACCTTACCACTTACCTCCTAGGTCCCAGAAATACCATGAATCATTACCTCAGGGTGGGAGTGGTCCCACATCTGTAGGATGTCTACAGCAATGCAGAGCCACTGGTGGGCTAGTCACAGCCCTATTTCCTTCTCATCAGAGCTGCTACCTGGGTTCTTCGTAACTAGAGATCATGCAAAGGTTCTCTATGGGAACCACATAGGACATTAAGAAAGCTGGGCAACATAGAGATAAGGAATGGGTGATGATTGTCACTAAAAGGAGAGACAACAGCATTCCATCAGAGAAGGCCCTGGGATTTCAGTGACCTTAGTCCAAACTGTAGTCCTGCCACTCTGTCTGG